ATGAACACTTTCCATCAAATCATAAGAAAATCCTTGTATAAGAATAAATTAACGTTGTCTACAGATTTTATAACAACAACGTTTCAAAAATTGGGTCTTCCTCAGGAAAAGTTCTATACAGTAGTACAAGAGCTTTCATGCCCATATAGTGCTGTCACAGAACCAGGAATAATATAATGCATTTGGTAGTAGGACACTGATCTGAAAGCTATTCAGGATGCAAACTTACTGGGATCTGACGGATCCCAGGGGTCTGTGAGAATAGCTTTGAAATCAGTGTCCTCCTACTAAATGCATTATATTATTCCTGGTTTTGTGATAGCACTGTATGAGCATGAAATCTCTTGTACCCCAGTATAGAATATTTCCTGAGGAAGATCCGGTTTTTGAAACACTGTTGTTATAAAATCTGGAGATGACGTTAATTTATTCTTACACAAGGATTTTCTTATGATTTGATGGAATGTGTTCATAGTGGTTACGTAGTGTTTATTGGTAGCAATATATAGGGGGGGAAATTGCAAGTCTTGCTGACTACCTGATTTGTGGGTCAGACTGTCACGACTATTTTCTCAGTACTCAGGGCTCTTTTTGTAGAAAAAGCCCAGCAGGAACTCATTAGCATAATAGGCCACACCCAACAGCAGAAACTCATTAGCCTATTAGGCCACACCCCTGACAGCACAGCTCATTAGCACATTAGGCCGCACCCCCATGTTATCACGTCTGGTCATCCAGCCACACCCACCTTTAGCTTCTTATTCTGTTTACCTTGTCTGTTGTCAAAACCCAGGGCCTTTTTTTGTAGCAGGAACTCCTTTGCATGTTAGGCCACACACCCCTATTGTAGTCAATCCTAATGAGTTTCTGCTGTTGGGTGTGGCCTATTATGCTAATGAGTTCCTGCCGGGCGTGGCCAACTCGGGGGCCAGCCGGAACTCCGTTCCTGTGCGTTCCTGCCCAAAAATAGCCCTGTCAGTACTTATTTCTAGACACGGTCATGACTGTCCACATTTGTCTTCTATAAGCGTACAGACTTTTCTGCAGTTTTCACCTCCCAAGAGAACCTTTCCCAGACAGACTACTCTTCTTGACCCAAACTGAAACCATAAAAACCACAAACCCACAACATAGCTACAGCATAAAAACCACTATAAAAGAAGGACCCTGTTGCTCAATGGAAGAACTCCTGCTTTGCATGCAGAACATCCATTGTTCAATCCCAGGCATCTCTAGTAAAGACCTCAGGTATTTCCAAAGACCTCTGCCTAAGATTTTGGCAGGAAGCTGCTAGTCCAGGGAAGACAATTCTCAGCCTGATTGGTCTGATTTGGCATAGGACAGCATTATACGTTCATTCATATGCAAATACCTACATGCTTCTTCAATCAAGCTACAAACAGTGAATTGCCAGAGGGAGGGAAAACATAGAAAATACCAAGTTGCCCAAGTGTAATTACATTGGGGCATACAGGATATGTCTCAAAGCAGGGTGGATTTGATTTAAATCAAATTGATTTAAATTGATTTAAATCACGATTTAAATCATGATTTAGATCACTAGTCAGTAAGACTCAATTTGAATCATGGCTTTCTACATAAAGGGCTCATTCTCGCAGGCCTTAATATTTACAACCCAGATGAAGGTTTCATTTTCGTATAATAAATTTTCAGGTTAGTTTCAGTGGTATCAGAAAATCAATGATTGGTTATTTACCAGTTGAAATAGTTCATTATGAAATCATTGCAAGGTGAACTGTCTCCAGTTTAATAGGTTAACCATTCATATTTGGACAACTTTTCTGCTGTTTACTGGAAGGTGAAAAATAATCATTAGCAATAACCATTTAAAAATTTTTATTCAATTAAAACAATAACATTATATAGCATATATGTATTCACAGGGGTCATTTGGTAGAAAAAGAGGTGCAGGAGCTCATTAGCATAACTCATTATGATAACTTATTTGCATATGCCACACCCCCTAGCATCACCGGAAGTGTTTCAGAAGGCAACACCCACTGCAACTTACCTGGCTGCTTCTTGCTCCTTATAGCCTGGGGCTGCTGGGAGCAGGGGGCGGGGCTTGTTGCATGTGCCCGCCCCCCCCTTTTTTTTTTTTAACCTTCGACTTTATATCCCGCTCGAACCCCCTTCTCAGGGGGTCTCTGAGCGGCTTACATATGGTGCTAATCACACACAAATTACCCTAACTATGGCCACAGAGTTATGGGGTGGGGTTACCTACTAGCACCCTTTGTGGTGGTAGATTAACATGCTTCTTGGCTCGGCGCTTTCACTTTTCATCCCGGCGGGCTCCATTTCGGTCGACAGCTCCTTCCTTTTTTTTGGGCGCACGATTCGCGCCTTCTTCCGGTTCTAGCTACGTCCTTCCGGCTCCGCTTTATGCCGGCCTCCAGCGTCGTCGTGCGCCAGTCTCGCCCATCTCATCGGCAGCCGCCCAGATGTCTCCTCTCTTTCTGGCCAGCAGGGATCGCTCCGTTGGTCACAGCAACCCGCAGCTGCTGCCGCCGTTGTCCCGCCGCGTCACGCCACCTCCGATCACTTGCCGCTGCCGTCCACCACGTTCTAGGCAGGGTGCCCCCCACCCTACTAAGGGTGGGTACCCATTTACCTACTTGCACTAACTGCTTTCGGTCCGCCCTGGGCTCTTTACTGCCGGAACTCCGCTCCTGTGCGCTCCTGCACAAAATGACCCCTGTATTCTTCTATTTGCTTAAACGTCCATGAGGATACACTCACAAAGATCTCAAGACTTGTGGAATATTCTGCTCAAAAAGTTTCACTTTCATTTGTATTGCTTACCCCTCCCTTCTCAGCTTAGTTTTTAACATCCCCTCCTTATCCAAACCTATTCCACCCCAAACAATCTTATATTCATTGAACTTCTTGAAACTTAGCACTTAAGAGATAAGGGGTTGATTCTGTATGCACAGATTTGCAGAGGAACAACAAGACTGAGGTCTCTTAGCTCTGTTCGTTTCATGACATTTTTGCTGTGAAAAAGAGGCATGTTATCTTCAGACACAAATTCACAGTTTTGAGATCTGTAAAACCAAGCATCTGCCCAGTAATCTTACAGAAACCTTTGGAAGAGCATGACATTGTGAATGGATTACCAAATTCATTTACCAAAAAAATGTAAACATTGCTTGAATATACAGTGTCATGCTACATAGTTAAAAACTAATCCTAATTTCACAATGAATAGCCATTGGAATATAATGTATCTTAAATAGAAAACTATGTTTAAATGGATTATTCCTCAAAAAGCCTTTTATTTAAAAATCCAATTTAAATTTTAAAAAGTCTGTTTTAAATTTTAAAAATCCAATTTAAATTTTAAAATCTGATTATTATTTTTTAAAAACCTATTTTTATCCCCCCTGGCTCAAAGATTGTCCAGGAATTAATAACCTTGCTGCATTTAGCTCCAATAGGGCAAACTGCTAAAATCTGTTACAGCAAGCTGCCATAAATACTTGATATGATATGAAAATTTAAATAACAAATGAATGCCACACCAAATTCCTCTTGCATAAATACACAGAAAAAAATTGCTCTTGTAGTAGAGATGGGACTGTATAGATTTTTCCTCTTTCTTTGATAATTCATATTTCTCTGGATACTATAGGCTTATTATAGATCTAATGTTTTATTGGAATATAATGAAGGCCTAGTATATAGAAGGCCTCTCTTCTTTGTGGGTCAAGGGGGATTTTTCCTAGTTTCTGTTAACAGACAAGACACAGGAGACATTCTTTTAGCACAAAAGTAGATATAAGGTTCATGGTTCTAATTGTTTAGGTTATAACTGCATAGTGTCTGGGTCACAATGGATCTTTTCCTGGGTATCAGAGAACAACACTTTTGTTTGGGTGAGAACAAGCCTTGGCCGATATGACTTAGGTTATGTCAAGTAAATATGTGCCGCTATTGCATAAGCACACCTTTCTTACATTTGACCAATAAGGGGATTTTGATGTAAATGTTGTTTAAGTTTCTGTAACCAATTATGCCCTTTGAATATTATTCCCATGATGATGATATGATGATGTCATTTTAAGTATTTAACTTCATGTATTTCCTGGTTGGGCTCAGAAAGCAGTCAGTTTTGATGGGTCCTTTGGCCTAACTGTTTTCCGTATTTCATTGCAATAAAATACAAGAACTTCCTCCTCATTTTGACTTCAATCTTCTATTTTTGACTGGATATTAATTTGTACTACACTTTTCAGCACATGTTGACTCAAATAAGAGATCTGGAAGATGCCCTGAAAGATTAAGGCATCTCTCTCTAAAGTGGACTTGTAATATTCCACGTTATATGAAATACTGTGAGTCTGTGATATAAATAATGTACTTTATGTTAGCCAATTTTTGCTGCCTTTGATTGACCTGGTGAAATTCTTCATCTATTGCTGTGTTGTAACATCCTGTGTTATGACTCACGGATGTCATGATCTTTGGTCAAGCTATATTGAAGAATGTTCTGAACCGTTAAAAATTAAAAGTTTAAAAAGGAATCTTTATTTGCTTCTTCTTCAGAGGGAAGCAACCTCCCAGACTGGCTTCTGGAATTAAGGAAAAACATATTGCGTACTCTCGGACGCCTTGGAGAGGCACAAGATAAACTTTCCGAAATGAACTATAAAAAAATGGAGAAAGTGCAGGTTCTCCCATGTATATCTGGGAAGTCTCAACATGAAGATGAAAAACAGACATTCACTGATGGGCAAATGCTGCCATGCGTAAGTCAGCCATACCATGAACCTTCCTCAACTCATCAAGAGGAAAACAGAGCCCAGCTAACAGAAAATGAAGCAATGGAAACTGAAACTGTTACATCCCTAAATGAAAAGATACCTGGACCCGATCAGAAATATACATCATTCACAGAAAATGAAGCAGTGTCAGACAAGGGCAACAGAAAACTTTCTCATATAATGAGATCTTCAGCTAAGAACCCCCCAGAAAACATGGACTTAGAAGACATTCCAGGAAACAGTGAGGAAGATGTAACTGCATCCATAAAGCTGGAAAAGATCCCCGGAGAACGTCTAGGGAAGATTCCCGACCTAGAAAAACAGATGGAGAGGAAGGAAGTCCCAAAGCAGACAGGAAACGGGAAGCGCCGGCGGAAAGCCAAACGAAGCAGGAAGGAGAGAGATGTCAACCCAAAGGAGAAAAGTAATGAAAGTGGCCAAAGCAATCGAGAAGGTGAATTTGGATCTACGGAGCTAGAAGACATTGATCCGACCAATACTGCTAAACTGTTCAGTGGGAGGTCAGAGGAAGAGGAGAGTCAGAGTGACTGGATGACGAAAGAGTAAGAGCAAATTGATTTTTTAAAAATCATATGCCCCTCCCCCATCCTGAAGATCTAGTCAAGGTCATGCACAACAAACTAATGAAGAGATAGGGCTGGGCCCAAAGCATCACCAGTGCAGAAAAGAAGAAGAGAAGAGTTGGTTTTCATACCCTGATCTTCTCTACCTTAAGGAGTCTCAAAGGGGCTTTGAGAATTGCCTTCCTTTCCCCTCCCCACAGCAGTCACCTTGTGAGGTAGGTGGTGCTGCGAAAGTTCTGAGAGAACTGTGACTGGCCCAAGGTCACCCAGCAGACTTCACGTGGAGGAGGAGTGGGGAACCAAACCTCATTCTCCAAATCAGAATCCACATGCAGGCCATGAGTTCCCTGCCTTCCCCCTCTTGCAGTGGAATATTGAACCACTCAAAATTCTGTAGCGAGGGGTCAAACAAGGCAAAGTGGAGGGTCTCTTGTGGGAGGGGAGAATTGTCAAAAAAATTACCCTTTCTTCCTCCACCAATGCTGCCATGCCAGCAGAATGACACCTTATGATCCAGCCTATAAACTCTTCAGGTGAGACATGAATGAAAACTAACAGCCAGGCTTAAAAATCTCAGGAACTCGTGCTACAATAGAGCTAAAACCAGGCGTCATTTCCTGCAGGAGCGCACAGGAGCGGAGCTCCGGCAGTAAAGAGCCCAGGGGGTGGGCACATGCAACAAGCCCCACCCCCTGCTCCCAGCAGCCCTCAGTCAGAGCAAGAAGCAGCCAGGTAAGTTGCAGAGCTCCCCCCCAGCCCCCCAGTCCAAAACAGTCCAGTGGCACCTTTAAGGCCAAGTTTTATTCAGGTACAAGCTCTCCCTCCTCTGTGAGGACAGATCTTCACGTCCCCCCCCCCCATAGCTTGCAATCCAAAAGAGTACACTGGAGCCTGAGCGGTGGGTGTTGCCTTCTGACACACTTCCGGTGATGTCAGGGGGTGTGTCATATGCAAATAAGTTATGCTAATGAGTTATGCTAATGAGCTCCTGCACCTCTTTTTCTACGAAATGACCCCTGGCTAAAACCATGGTACAGGCTGAAAACCGGGCCAGGGCTCTTTTTGTAGCAGGAACTCCTTTGCATATTAGGCGACACACCCCTAATGTAGCCAATTCTCCAAGAGCTTACAGTAGCCCCTGTAAGAAGAGCTCTGTGAGCTCTTGGAGGATTGGCTATATTAGGGGTGTGTCGCCTAATATGCAAAGGAATTCCTACTACAAGGACAATGTCCGTTGCATTGGAGCCTCAGGCAGCCTATAACCATTTGGAGAGGTTTGACCTCATGCAGGATCTTTGTTCTTTTATATTCCCTCATGATACCAAGAATAAGTCACAAGGCAGGATGTTGGGTTATTGAGCAGTGCCTTAACAGGAATTATATAAGCATATGGAGCAGAGGTCCATCAGTGGCTATTAGCCACACGGTATAGATAGGGACTCTGGAGCAAGTGATGCTCTGTCTTCTTGGTACTTGGGGGGGGGGTCAACAGTGGGAGGGCTTCTAATGTCCTGGCCCCACTGATGGACCTCCTGATGGCACCTGGTATTTTTGGTCACTGTGTGACAAAGTGTTGGACTGGATGGGCCTTTGGCCTGATCCAACATTGGCGTCTCTTATGTTCTTATGTTCTTAACATCCATCTCTTATAGGAAGCCATGGGAGATGGCATTTTACCGACACCCCGGGGCAGTTTAGACAGGACTTTATTTATTTAGAAACAAAAAATAATGCTGCCTCTCCCCTGACTTAAACAGCTGACAAAAAAAGCAATGAAAACGAAACCTGAGAGGATACTAATTAAAATCCAGCATTAAAAACCCATCCCAGCATAAAAACTAAGATAATAAAAAGAGACAACTGACAGCTTAGAATAACTCCACACTAAAATAGTGTTAGAAGAACGACCCCTAAATTCAAAGCGTGGGTGGACAGAAACATTTCAGCCTGGCGCCTAAAAGAAAGCAATGTAGGGCAGTCCATAACTAAGGTGCTACCACTGAAAAAGCCCTGTCTCTGATTGCCACTTGCCTCACCTCTGAAGGCAGGGGCACAGGAGCACGGCTCATGAGACAGATCTTGGCTGGTGGGCGGGACAAAATGGGAGGAGAATACGATTCTATACAGATCACTGTAGATGGAAGTTTTATTATTCGGTCACCTGTTTGGGGATCACAGGAGCATTGCTGTATGTGAGAGCGGGTGTATCTTCAACCTGTAGGTGGCTTTTTGTTGTTATAGATCTGTGAAGCAATTACTAGCATTTCTATTACACCAACAACAAAGAGCCCTCCATACAATTTTTCACATTTTTCAATACATTTTGTTGTTCAGTCGCACAGTTGAGTCCAACTCTTCATGTCCCCATGGACCATATCATGCCAGGTCCTCCTGTCTTCCATCATCCTCTGGAGTTTGCTCAGTTTCAGGTTCGTTGCATCTATCACACTGTCTAGCCATCTCATCCTTTGCTGTCCCCTTCTTCTTTGACCTTCAATCTTTCCCAGCATCAGGGTCTTCTCCAGTGAGTGCTCCCTTCTCATTTGGTGGCCAAAGCATTTGAGCTTCAGTTTCATTATCTCGACTTCCAGGGAACAGTCAGGGTTGATTTATTTTAGGATTGACTGATTTGATCTCCTTGCAGTCCAGTGGACTCTCAGGAGTCTTTTCCAGCACCATAATTTCAATAAATAGCACAATTCAATACCGAGCCTGGCATTTTTAAAAAAAGGACTATGCAAGCACAGCCAAGACTGTTGTCCGGCAGGGGAATTCTACACCTAGCTAGTGCCCAGTTACTCAGTTCCTTCTCCAGTTAGGGAGATTTTTGCATAGAACCCTAATTTGGAGTATGCTTGGTGCCAACTGGGGCTCTTCCTCGTTCTTGTTTTTGTCATTTGTGTGTCCATATTGCTTTGGGTTGTTTTTTCCCCTGCACATGTTTTGCTCCCTCTGGTGGTTGTTTCCATCCCTCTGGCACAGAAATAGCCAGAGATACAGCAATGTAATATCAAAACAGCCACTAGAGGGAGCAAAACATGTGCAGAAAACAAAAAAAAAACCCAAGGCAATATGGACACACAAGCAACAAAAACAAGAATGCGGAAGAGCCCTAGATGAGGCTGTTCAAGCTTAAAGCATGCCATACCTATTATATGCTTTTTGTCTGAAAACCTGCTAAGATTTGTAAATAGAATGTTTATTCATGAATCTCCCTGTGCTTTACAAAAGTAGATAGTGGGGATTGCTTTTTTCACTCCCTCCATGTTGTGTTTTTGTCTGCAGATTTCTTGTGGAAGTGAAGGACAGCAGTGAGCCTGAAGTAGCCTGTTGCATTACAGCCCCACGTGCCATTCTAGAAAACCTAGTAATCAGGGCTGTCAATGATTTAAGTTCCCTGGTGGTAGATGATGCCGAAGAACTGGTCAGCAACGTCATCAGCACCGAGTTCCTGCAGAATGGGCCAACCATTCTGCCTCCAGTTACCATGGTCATCCCGTTTAACTCACGTTACCGAGGAATGTACAAAGACATTATGGTGAAGGTGACTGACATGAACTTTCAGTCGAGTTATTTAACTCCAGTTTCTTTGGAAGGGCACCAAGGAAACCACAAGGTTGGTCGACTGTCACCGTCTACAACAAAAGTTTTAGGGACAATGTTAAGTTTGAGAGCTTTACATGAACATGCAGGAGGCTTTAGATGGACTTATTTAAAAATCAGCACATTGAATTTGGTGAAAATCAGAATCATTGCATCCCCTGAACGCAGGGCTATTTTTGGGCAGGAACGCACAGGAACGGAGTTCCGGCTGGCTCCCAAATTGGCCACGCCCAGCAGGAACTCATTAGCATAATGGGCCACACCCAACAGCAGAAACTCATTAGGATTGGCTACATTAGGGGTGTGTGGCCTAACATGCAAAGGAGTTCCTGCTACAAAAAAAGGCCCTGGGTTTTGACAACAAACAAGGTAAACAGAATAACAAGCAAAAGGTGGGTGTGGCTGGATGACCACACTTGTGGTAACATGGGGGTGCATCCTAATGTGCTAATGAGCTGTGCTGTCAGGGGTGTGGCCCAATATGCTAATGAGTTTCTGCTGTTGGGTGTGGCCTATTATGCTAATGAGTTCCTGCTGGGCTTTTTCTACAAATAGAGCCCTGCCTGAACTACAGTAGGACAGTTGTACTGCACAGAGCTCTCAGCATGAAACAAGAAGTCCATGATACATTCATAATGTATATCTTCCTATATCTTCCTTTTATCACACGGTTCTTAAAATTCACTTGGAGAGTTTCCCTTTCAGTGCCAGATGCCATCCAAAAAAATTCAGCACTGGTACAGAAACTCTTCACGCAACCAAGAAAAACCATGAATCGTACTATGTTTTACAGCAGTGGTGTGGAAAGGTATAATAGAAATGCTACTTAAGTTGTTTCTATATGATTAATGTAATGAAGAAAGTGTCCACCAGTCTTTCATGCAATAATACATTATTTCCCAACCCACCTCCACCATTCCGCTAACTCAGGGTGCTCCAACCTTTTAAAGTCTGCAGGCTCGTTTGGAATTCCAACCCAATGTGGTGGTCCAGGCAACAAAATGGCTGCCACAAAATGGCTGCTGGAGGAGGTGGAGCCATCCACAAAGTGATCGTCACAGCTTAGCATCAGTAACGCAGTGTAGATCTTTGTGCTGTGGTGGCAGCTGCTGCCAAAGCAACATTTTAATCTGCACAGTCAATCTGATCTCCAACAGCCAATCAGAAGCCTTGCTGGGCAAAAGCCCTACCTGGCCACACCCATTGCCTTAAAACGCTTTGGTGGGTGCCAGAAAAGGTTTTGGCAGGTGTCACAGTGCTAATGGGGCGCCACGTTGACCCTCGCACCAACTCTTCCGGCAAGACATCCAGCAAGAGAATCCCAAACAGATACACAAAATGCATAGGTAATGTATTTATTTATTATTTATTTATTTAAGTATTTTTACCCCGCCCTCCCCGCAAGCGGGCTCAGGGCGGCTTACAAGGGGCATAGCCCGAACATAAAATCACATAAAAACCAATAAAATCCAACAACATTACAATCAACAATAAACAATAAAGTGCTTCTTTTTATCAGGCGGTCTTAGGTTGTTAAAAAATGATGGCATCATTGTCCAGAAATGGTCCGAGTCCGTCTGCTGTACTCATTGCAGCATTCTAGTAGCACTACGTTCGAGGACACTCCCAGCTTCGATGTTCTTACCACCGTTGATGGTAATGGTGGCAGCGGCAGCGGCGGCCCCTACGTATTGTACTGGAGCACTGTTATACCAACTTTCCTCCTTTTGCTTCATGCAGGGGTCATTTGCTGAGATCAAAACCAGCCAGCTCGGTACCTTTTCTGTGGTTTCGGGCTTAAAGCTGGAAACACTCACCATTCCCAGGGAAGGCCTGTCACGAAAACTAAGCATGGATCCCAGAATTTCATTTGACTTCCCTCTGTCAACTTTCGATTCTTGCGTCACAATGCATTTAAAGGTAATCTTGAAAGGTATTTGACATCGTCCTTGGGAATGAAAAAATATGGTTCACTGGAGGGGGGGGGGAGGTATGACTGTTGCATAGACATGCCGATTGGACTGACTACAGAAGCAAACACTTGTTCTAACAATTCACAGCATTCAGTAGAATACAGATTATTAGTCACTACTATGTCCAAATTATAAAGTGAGCATCCTTCCCAGTAACAGATTTTTAACCAGCATTAACCTTAGAAACTAACCTCCACTTATTACAGTGCTTCCATTCGGATGTCACAAATAATGAGTTAGTGGAAGACTTCTGGGGCGGCTATGGGTGAGGGGGAGGAGAAAGACTGTGAGGCACCTGCCTTCTGGACTGAAGAGTATACAGTCCCCCACTCTGGCCTTTCCTATAGAATATTTAGACCCCAACTCCCCACAGTCAAATAAAAAGGGAAACACAAGCTTTAAATTAAGGATTGGAGCTGCGGTGGCTCAAGTGGTTAAGACACTGAACTGCAGGCTGCAGGCTGTGGAAGGTCAGTAGTTCAGCAGTTCGAGACCCGAGTTGCCGCATGATGGAGTGAGCTCCCGTCTCTAGTTCCAGCTCCTGCCAACCTAGCAGTTCGAAAGCAAGAAATTGCAAGTAGATAAATAGGTACCATTTCGGTGGGAAGGTAACAGCGTTCCATGCGCCTTGGTGTTTAGTCATGCCGGCCACATGACCCCGGAAATGTCTTCGGACAGCGCTGGCTCTTCGGCTTTGAAAGGGAGATGAGCACCACAACCCTAGAGTCGGACTCAACTGGCTTTCGAGCAAGGGAACCTTTACCTTTACCACATAAGCTCTGTGCTCCCCAAAGGTATCTTAGACTCATAGAGTTGGAAAGGACCTCCAGGATCTTCTAGTCCAATCTTCTGAACAATGCAGGAAATTCACAAATACCTCCCCCCACACACACACACACCAGTTTCAAGCCAACTTTTGCGCTCTCTTCTTTCACCCTTAGCAGAGGCTCTTTAGGTCCTCTTCACTTTCTGCCATCAGAGTGGTATTGTCTGCATATCTGAGGTTGTTGATGTTTTCCCCGGGAGTCTTAATTCCGGCTTCTGATTCATCCAGGCCGGAATTTCGCATGAAGTACTCTGCATATAAATTAAATAAGCAGGGTGCCGGCCCCATCACTCCTTGGCAAACGGAAGTCATGGAAGCAGCGATAGACTCCACGTTCCTGGGATCCAAGATCACTGCAGACAGTGACTGCAGCCATGAAATTAAAAGACACCGGCTCCTTGGGAGGAAAGCAATGGCAAACCTAGACAGCATAATAAAAAGTAGAGCCATCACCCTGCCAACAAAAGTCCACATGGTCAAAGCAATCGTATTCCCAGTAGTACTCTATGGCTGTGAGAGTTGGACTATAAGGAAGGCCAAGCGCCGAAGAATAGATTCTTTTGAACTATGGTGCTGGAGAAGACTCTTGAGAGTCCCTTGGACTGCAAGAAGATCAAATCCGTCAATCCTAAAAGAAATCAACCCTGACTATTCCCTGGAAGGCCAGATACTGAAGCTGAAGCTCAAATCCTTTGGCCAAATGAGAAGGGAGCACTCCCTGGAGAAGACCCTGATGCTGGGAAAGATTGAAGGTCAAAGAAGACGGGGATGGCAAAGGATGAGATGGTTAAGACAGTGTTATCGAGGCAACGAACTTGAAATTAAGCAAACTACAGAGCACGACGGAAGACAGGAGGGCCTGGCGAGATCTTGTCCATGCGGTCGTGAAGAGTCAGACTCGACTGTGCGACTGAACAACAACAACACACCCCCAGTGACCCCTGCCTGGGGTCTATGCCCAGAAGAGGACAAAAAATTTAAAAAAACCTCCAGGATCCCTGGCCAAACTGGCCTGGAGAACAATTGGTTGCTGACCCCAAAGTGGCAATCAGCATTTCCCTGAGTGTGTAAGAAAGGGCCACAAGAACTAAGTACTGATGCCACCCTTCCTGCTCTCCCTTCTTGTGATCTGCCTAAGTTCACAGAATCAGCATTGCTGTCAAATGGCCATCTAGCCCCTGCTTGGAAACCTCCAAAGAAGGAGAGCCCACCACCTCCCGAAGAAGCCTGTCCCACTGAGGAACCGCTCTGTCAGGAAGTTCTCCCTGATGTTTAGCCGAAAATTCTTTTGATTTAATTTCAACCCATTGGTTCTAGTCTGACCTTCTGGGGCAACAGAAAACAACTCTGCACCATCCTCTAGATGACAGTTCTTCAGGCACTTGAAGATGGTTATCATATCACCTCTCAGTCGTCTCCAGGCTAAACATACCCAGCTCTTTCAACCTTTCCTTATAGGACTTGGTCTCCTATCTTATTTGCAGACGTGCTAACGGGATCTTAAAGGCTGCTAGAAGGAACTCTTTTATGAGCAAAAGCATTTCATTAAGCCTCTGCAGCAACCAGCTTTTAGCAGCTGGTGAAGAATTCTGGAAATCAAAATGAAGCTGTCATTCATTTCATCCCTGGGTGGCAGCAAAAGCTTAGGAAACTATCATTAAGGCTTTCTACACACTGCAGAATGTTGAAGAGTCATTTAAGACAAGCAACCTGGATGGCTATATGCTTCCTGGAAGAAAAATGGACTGACTAACCTCTTTAGAATACAGCAATTTTCTATACAATGCCTATCATTTCCACTTCCAAAAAGATTTACAGCATCCATTTAAAAAGCCCCAGCCACTAGAATAGCCATATAAAATAAAATAAAATGAATCAGCAGTATATACTCAGATTCCAGCAGCAGTTTTAAAAAGCATTGAAACTGATTATTGTTAAGATTTTGAATGAACCAGACTTGGCTTTGCACTGAAATGCTAACAATGTCATTACCAGGGAAGCAATCCTAGGTAGAGAGTTCCAAAGGAGGGCACTGCCACATAAATAGTCCTCACTCCAGTAAGCATCCACCTCACACCTGAAGTTGGACACACCTGGGCAGTGGATTTAGAGGATGGTCTAGGACAGGTTCCTCTGGGAGAAGGAAGTCCTTTAGATACCCTTTTCATAGACTTATGGAGGGCTTTTTTGGTAGAAAAAGCCCAGCAGGAACTCATTAGCATAATAGGCCACACCCAACAGCAGAAACTCATTAGCATATTAGGTCACACCCCTGACAGCACAGCTCATTGGCATATTAGGCCACACCCCCATGTTACCAGAAGTGTGCTCATCCAGCCACACCCACCTTTTGCTTCTTATTCTGTTTACCTTGTTTGTTGTCAAAACCCAGGGCCTTTTTTTTAGCAGGAACTCCTTTGCATGTTAGGCCACGCACCCCTAATGTAGCCAATCCTAATGAGTTTCTGATGTTGGGTGTGGCCTATTATGCTAATGAGTTCCTGCTGGGCATGGCCAACTTGGAAGCCAGCCGGAACTCCGTTCCTGTGCGTTCCTGCCCAAAAATAGCCCTGGACTTATGTAGGTCAAAGAGCAGGACAGAAATCCTGGAGCCAGTGAAGATGGTTCAACAGCTACCATATTCTGAATCAGTTGAAGTTTCAAATCACTGTGGCCAGATCATCTCTTCCCCAGCATACCAAATGAAGCTGATGTGTTATATAATGCCTGCCACTTGAACCTCCATTTTCAAAGCTGCTTTGAGAAGTATCAGTAAGCTGCGGACTTGATCTTTCCGGAGAAGTGAAGCCACCGGCCAGAACCAATTGAATAACACCATTATCTATTCAGCTCCTCAAAACAGTACCTCCATCTCATCTAGGTTGTAAAAGGTAAAGGTTAAGGTTTCCCTTGCTGAAAAGCCAGTCGAATCCGACTCTAGGGGGCAGTGCTCATCTCCGTTTTCAAGCTGAAGAGCCAGTGCTGTCCGAAGACGTTTCCATGGTCATGTGGCTGGCATGACTAAATGCTGAGGTGCACGAAACACTGTTACCTTCCCACTGAAGAGGTACCTATTTATCTTGCAATTTCTTGCTTTTGAACTGCTAAGTTGGCAGGAGCTAGGGCCAGAGACGGGAGCTCACTCCGTCACGTGGCACTCGGGTCTCGAACTGCTGAGCTACAGACCTTCCGATCTGCAGCTTCAGTGTCTTAACCTCTGAGCCACCGCAGACCCCATCTAGGCTAACCTTCGGTTTATTAGCCCTTCTTACTCTGGGCATCTGTTCAGGTCATCCACAGTTCTTCTGGAATAATATATAGAGGTGAGCGTCCTCCACATACAATCTCACCTCAGAATCTCCAGACAGCACTTCTAGTCGTTTCATGTAGACGTTTAATAGCATAGGGGACAAAATAGATTTCTGCAGAACCCCATAGTATAAATACCATAGCTCAGAGTCTTCTAGCATCATCCTCTAGAGTTGACGCAGTAGATAAGAAGAATAACCACTAGAGCACAATGCCTTCAGCCCCCGAGCCAGATACGTTTCCAAGGAGAGTGCCATGGTTGATTCTACTGAAGCCACTGACCTGCCCAGAAGAATACCAGCAGTATTATGATGTGCTTGTTATACTCTCTGCAAAAACAGGCTGTTTCAGTCCCAAAGCCAGGTCAGATTAAAATCAGTGAGACACAGGGAGGGGAAGACAAACCTGACCGAATACCTGGAATCAAGAACCAGAAGGGTAAGAAAGAAGCCTGATAAAGGGCCAATATTAAAAACCTAGTGTATAGCGGTGGTGCAGGCGGTAAAACGCCTGCTTTAACAACTCTTGAGCAGCCACTTTGGCTGTTCGAATCCCACCGCAGTCGGGGTGAGCTCTTGACCCTAGTCCTAGCTCCCACCCACCCAGTGGTTCGAAAGCTGAAGTAACTGACGGCGAGTAGATAAATGGGAACCTACCCTTAGAAGGGTAGGGGGCACCCTCCTCTACGGAGGTGCGTGGAAGGCAACGACGGCGGCGGCTGCAGCAGGACATCGGCTGCAGCAGCATACCAGAGGTAGCGGCATGGCGTCGAGGCGGCAGTGAGCAGTAGCAGCAGAGCCGGAAAGGAGTGA